ATCTAAACCAAATGAGGAGCGCCTCAAATCATTGAATCTTCACCCATCCAAGTATAGGTGACTCAGAAGTAACCTTCTAATGACTTGTAGCACCTCAGACATTCCTGGGCATACCCTTAAATACCTACTGAAGCTCAGAGATACGATACTATAACGGACAGTAGACACGCTATTCGCACTTTACGAATGATCGAATTCTGGAATTTACTGCCATCTGGGATAGTCCAAGCGACTTCCCAGGAGTACTTTGAGAGTGAACTTGATATATTTTAAGGGATAAAAGGCATTTCGCCACAATTTACCAGTTCCTTTTTCTCTCTTTTATCGTTAATATGCCTAGGTTCTTACCTGGAGGGATTGGTGGTCCATAGCTTCTAGATACAGTAGCTCGTTAAGCTAAGGCTTCTTCTGTTCCATCCAGAAACTTTTAAATCATTTGAAGGTCAGCATTTTTCATCTGAGTTACAATCTATACCGCTGATAATGAAAATCTGACCCGCGGCATTTCGACGGTGCGCCACTTCCTGCAAATGTTTCGAAAGTTAATTTTCGAGCCCAATAAGCTTTTTCAGAATGTAGATCTACTTTATAAAATTTAACAAATCTAAAAATAGGTTAAGTGCGTTCGCACTTTAAAAGTTCATGAATATTCGGCAATGGAGTTGTTAAAAAAGTACGAAATACCTGTTCCAAAGTTTGTAGTTGTTCGGAATGTGGATGACGTCAGAGCTACTTGTAAAGAATTCGGTAGGTACATTCAATGCGTAAGATTTTGTTTCTTCACTTTCTGTCACTCAGTAAGTTTAATTTGTTCTGGAAATATCTTTTAAAGTATTATTATAGATGTCGTTAGTTAACTGTGATTTTCAAAGACATGTAAACCATAACTCCCCTACTTTAATTTTCGTGACGTTTTTCTCACCTCCTATAAGTCTACATGTTCACGCACTTTAATCACTGAGCAATTTAAAGCTTCTATGAGTTCAAACCAACCACTCTACGAAAATAAAGCTGGTCTCTTATCCCTTGGATACAGCACTTTAGTTAGCCAAACTATTTTGAATATAGTGTTAAGGTCACATAAAATCGCATACTACCTCGTTAAACTAAACAGTTAGGGCTATGTACACTCGATATTCTACTTGTGTTAGTGCAGACAAATTATTGGACACCGATTTTTATTTTTAACACGAGAAATTAAAGACAAATAGTCACAATCACATGCCTTGTCAACTAGGGGTGATGTGTCACTCTTTGTGTACAATGAGTTATTCTATGCCTTTATGTAGGGTATTGATTGAGACCATCTGTTTGGTTAGACCAAGACTCAATCATCCCATCAAGAGGTTTATTACAAGTTTAATTTACGCCGGTTTATTAATTAAATCCATAAAATACCATTCGGATTACTTATAAAATGTATAGTTGTTGATAAGAAAGGTAGTTTTTTGATATTTAATTAGCGTTGACAACCGATTTCAAATTTACCATCACCATACTCAGGGACGTCATCAGCAACAACTTCAAAACTGATTTCCCTGAAAAATTAGTGTTGTTGAGGTGACAGGTTGGTTACTAGGTAACCATAACAAGTCAGATAATGAGGCAATAAACCTTGATTAACTGAGTTAGATAAGACATGTATTACATGTACCTATCTACTGCTTACCTCGATAGGTGATATGGTCTGGTATTGGAGTAAGCTAGAAGAAATCTAGGAACTCCCAAACCAAAACGTGGCACCAGTCCATGACGTCATTGACAGTTAGGATAAGCTGTTAACAGGTGTAGATTACCTGGTTGCGTTCCTTAAGATTATCGTAACCAATCGTCAAAGACTGGGCGACATGGGTCAGTGGCGTAGGTGCATTCTATCTTTGTCTTGCCCTAAGACCAAAGTCCCGAATTTTCCTTATACTCCCTTTTTCAAGATGGTAATACCAATTGAATGGTCGTCACTGTATCCGAATACACGATGCCGAACCTCTGCATCACTAACATGGTGTTGCCACTGGATGTCAGTGATCCTTTGGAGACGACGATGGTCAAACGCAGAGTCATCTAATATTCTCAACTTGGAGAGACTAGAATCCACTAACATATGGCGAAACTGCTCTCATTGACGTGCTGTAGGTTCGATCTTTTACATTCAGACTAGTATCACAAAGGTGTCAAAGATGGGTCAGAGTGGAATAAGCCGCTCTGGCTTTCACTATACGTGAATTGATCTCATCACTCACGCCACCACCGGCACTTACACAGGTACCCAGATACGCAAAATTCTCGACTACTTCTATCTCCTCACTACACAGAATGAGTGCAGGTTTAGAGTTCCCCCAGTTTTATAGAACTAATCTGCACTTAGAAGGTGAAAAGCACATGCCATTATCTGTAGACACAGACTGCTAACTGACTGAATGCGGATTGCTTGTCTTGAGTATCATCACACAGTAAGATGATGTCACTCACATACTCAAGTTCAAAAAGCATTTTTCCGGGTAAAAGGTCCACACCACAGTTATCTACATCCATCAGAGCTGTTTTCAGAACGTCATCGATGGCAAAGTTGAAGAGGGATGGTGAGATTGGGCAACCCGATTTCACCTCACTGCCTGAGTAAAACAGTGAAGAGAGGTGGTTTTACGCCCTCATTCTCTCTGAAGTGTTTGTATACGGTGCTTTCATGATGTCAATAAACCTATCAGGCACATCCTCGTTCAATGGACTATCCCAGAAAACAATTTTGTCCGACGAATCGAAGACGGATCTGTTTTCAAGAAACACTACTATTGTTAGCTTGTAATAAGTATGACGACGTTCTAACACATAGTAGAGAGTGAAGATATGATCGATACGTCATCGAGCAAAACGAACACCAGCCTGCTCCTCGTGAGTCAATCTTTCCTGAGTTTTGAGCAATCTACGAAATATGACGGAAGCCAATAGTTTGGACGCAATCGGAAGTAGACCTATCTCTCGATAGTTGTTGCACAGGTGATATGAATCCTTTTTAAAGACGGTGACAACTGTCGATTCCGTCTACGATATTGATACTCTAATCTATCAAACGCACTTTTTGTAGGAGAACACTTGACTGGTGATAGAACTCATCCTTGACCGCATGCTTTCTGTAATCTTTCAGAGCGTAGACGGAGACGACAAAAAGACAGTTTCTTAAATCGACTTCTCACTCTGATGGAGCTTTCTAATCTAACGGCATGTAACCGAATGTTGATGGAGATCCAATCGATCTGTGCTGTCTCAAATCTAGCGCTTAGTGCGACAGCAACGCCAGCGAAACCAGACGAAGATGTTCCCGGATAAACACACATGAAACAAACTTTTTGAAGTGACAGATGGAGAGTGAACTTGTAGTGCTTCACTAGAGTCTTGAATACGGGTCTCGAATAAATAACACACATCAATGTTAAGGCTTTCTAAAGACAATTAACTTTATCTGTTGTCCCACCCGTATACGTGTGCGATCGTTGAAGAAAGTCAGTTTGAATGGTATGTTTTCAGAAAGGCAGGTTCAGAATTCGTATTGAATAGTAGCATTCAACTTTCGACCATTCATTAACTTGAGGTCGTTTAGATAGGGCACGGTTGTCACGATAGGCGAGCTGTTGTGGAAATCGAAGAATGAAGGAATGTTCAAAGATGGAGCAAAAGAATAGACAGGTGATGCAATTCAAAATAAAAAACTAGTATTAACAAGTAGTTTTGACTATTATTTGGGGAACATGAAAATTCAATTGTGGATAGTCTTTTTATTCACCATTTAGTTTGTGTTTGGGGTGGGATACTGCATGGGTGCCCAAAACTGAAGCCGGTGGTCTTCTTAAAGAACCACTCTCCGAGCCTTTGACCTAAAGGTCTAGTCCACAAGATCAGTGGTAAACGTTAGATGCAGTTCTATGGTAGCCATTGACCAACAACAGATTCCCTCAGGATCCTGGAGTACATGTACATTATTGGATTAGAATCAGGGTTTCCCAACTCCCCCATGTGAATCCTCCGTACCCACCGACCTGGTTAAAGCGCCTGACATCCGCTTTTCATCACGAAGTTTATAGACTTGAAGAGTTATCGGAAATAATTCAGAATATAATCCAGTAGGGGCCTGATTTTATTCTCCTTTTTTATAAACAATATTACGTAACATTTACGTTAATAAAATCTAACCTGTTTTTGTGCTAATGTGAATGACATTCTCCAATACTTTTTATTTATGCATTTATTATACCATTTTATTCCTTTTATTTTCCCACAATATTACAATTCGGGTTTATGAAACATATGTCTTGGCATCTTATTGTACTAAACAGTCTCTTAAGCGCTATTAATAAAGTCTTGTTTCTTCGTTATGGTCCATGATGGATGAGATTTCGCACACAGCTTTGATTTAGTTTGTAATGTCCATCATAAATTATGAATTCTGCAGAAAAATCGACTTTAATTCATGTGTGTTACAATTTAAAAACATATCACATCTGCTTGTTTGTCGTCTAATACAAAAATCCTGTTCAGTATTTTCCCCTATTTCTCATGTATCCTTTTTTATTCAGGCATTTTACCTGAAAGGGAATTAGAAAATTCAGGTAAGGTTATATTATCCGTTATGGCATTCACATGTTTTCTGTTACTGCTCTGACGATTTGCTACTTTTTGGCGTTAAATTCCTCCTTTACTTATTATTTCTTTTATGCAGTACGTAACAAGACTTTTTTTTAAAAGGTGGTGATTTCTGTGTGTGTGCATTGAGCGTTTCAGCACTGTCTAATTAATAACAGCTCCAGTAATTTTGTATGACTATTATGTTACGCATTAATTATGTTTTGACACTTGAATGTAAAACTGGAAGGAACATCATCGGTGTAAATTTTAGTTATACTTGTAGGTAGGTTTATTGATACAACTCAAACTGTATATATGTGAGGACAGTTAGTCTTGGGGAGATGTAGAACTGTCTGCAAAAAAGTATATATATATATATATATATATATATATATATATATATATGAGAGAGGAACTATCCAATCTACTTCATGAGAAATATATGATTAGACATTAGAGGCCTTACTAAATGTTTGTGAAATTGAATAGACTAGATCTATGTTAATATGTTGTTAAGCTCATTGTGAATCATTGTTCAAGTGTTTAATCGTTAAATGTCTAACCTGTTAAGTGCTTTGTTCAATTTGGATATTAGGTAGCGTATCTAGTCCTCATACTTATAATTTACCTGAAAAATAAATAATCTCAATCTTGCTATTGAGTCTTATTAAATTTGAAATTTCATTGAAACATAGACAGTACAATGTTCCTTGGAATATCAAGTTTTAAGGAGGCTTTTAATACAATGGCATTGGTAAATTTCACTTGTTAGTCACCAAACAAATTGAGCTATTAATATTTAAATGTTAAGGAATCCCAACTGTCCATCAAATGCAAAATTTCAAAAATTCTGACATTGGATATTACTTGTAACTTCTGAAATAAACTAGATGCGTTAACAAATTCACAAGTAAGTGTCATTGAATGTTGTAAACTTTTCTTCTCAGTAGATTAGTTCTTCTCTTAGTCGTTGTGTGCTATATTGTTAATTGATTTTGATATTTTAAAAAAATTTCTTCTGTTTTTTTTGTACTTCATAATGCCATCAATTTGTTGCATTTGGTGCATTTCCTTAACGCCCTTAATTGTTTACAAAACACTTTTATTATTAAATAAATAAATAGATGGTTAACTTATGATGCTCTTGAGTATTTTAAGATGTTTATTCGATAAGTTTGTGCATATTTTTACACCCAATGTAATAACAATTTTTTTCAAGATAAATCTGCAAATGAACAAGAAGACATTCACGTACACTGTGATCAGTCTGTCTAGATGTTTTTAAATACTCAACATAACAAAATAATAATTCAATAATTGTTTTTTTCCCTTCCTCCCCTTATATCTATATTCAACCATAGGTGAGACTACAGAGAGCACAGATATGGTGTTGAAAGCACAAGTGTTAGCTGGTGGCCGTGGTAAAGGTATTTGGGATAGCGGATTAAAAGGTGGAGTTAAAATTGTATACAAGTGAGTTGGATTGTTTTTCTTTCGAATTGGCGTGTTTGTTTATTTATCTTCAACAAATAGAGCTACCCTTTCATATTACAGCGCTGTGATATGAACTGACCATCTTTCTGTTTTTACCATTTAGTATCAATATCGCGAATAATGTGCACCGTATGAAAACTACACGGATGACATTCATGAAATATGTTCAAGCTACTTTAGGCCAGTGTTTCAAGATGGTGAAACGAATTAAATAGCTATCATCGTGTCTATGCACATAATACCGGACCTCTTAGTGGTTCTTCGGAGGAAACGGTGATCAAACGAAGAGAGTTGTTAAGTATTTTCAGCTCAAAGGGACCAAGTTGTTCCACCAACAAAATAAAACTTTGTGCACTGAATACGGGATCTACTATAAACAGACTGATGAGAGGAAAGTGGAACAACCAACTATATTTTATTGGCGAAGAAACTCTGTTTCAAAGTCCAAGTTCATGAGAGAAGGTTGATAATGTACCTTTCGGCTTACAATATTTTAAAACTATAATGAAACAACTGACATTCCTTCCCGATTTTTATTGGTAATTTATTTATTTATGTATTTGAACATATAGATATTGGTACAAGGAGGCACAAAACAGATATGCGCCACATAAATCATTCGATTTATGAGAGAACTGGGATACTACCCGGGTCCCCAAACCGAAGGAAGTGGTTTTCTTACGGGGCCACAACCTGAGCCTTTGACCTAAAGGTCTGATCCACAAGGCAGTGGAGCAACATAAGGAGACGCAGTCCCATGGTAACCGATGATCAACAATTGGTTCATAAGACATTTGTTCCCTCAGGATTCTGGAGCCCATGTGTACCATTGGTTTGGAATCAGGGTTTTCCAACTCCTCTAGGTGTATCCTCCGTATCCACCAACCCAGTTAAAGCGTCGGATATTCGTTTTTCATCCTCTCAATTTCGTAAACAATACCCCCGCCACGAGAAAGCAATGGGTAGGACTTCCCTAGCAGTGGTTCTATGCACGTGGCCACTTTAGAGCATCTCGAGAGGGAAAGTGGGCTCTTCCCACCATCCGCCGTACCAGGGCATTTGAGGGCTATTGGTAATTTGATGAGTTTCAGTCTGCAATCTGGATTTATTTCTAGGAAACTATTCACTTGTTTACTTTATTTATCTTTCAACCTATTATCCGTATACATACGTTTCTAAATCGGGCAAATAAAATTGTCATTCATAGTTTCTCAAGGACTTGATATTGAACCCTTCATCTTTCAAGTATTGATAAACTGAATATGATAATCACACATTGTGCAGCAAACTTCATATAAGTACACTGGGTGAGAATTCATAAACATATTTGGCTGTTCAAGTAGAATAAGTAGAAATCATACTAACTGTAAAGCCAGCATTATAACCTGTTGGAAAATTTATTATTCCTCAAAAAACACTCGACCTAAATCAGCTGTAAGGAGGCTTTTCCAATAGTCATCCCGTTGAATTTTTAAATCGCTCTGGTAGGATTCCCAAAGATTAAGCCTGCCGATAAGGTCTTAAGTGACTGCGGAATGAGTGATCTACAGACTAATTTCCCACATTCGCCTATGATATCTTGCATAACAAGTGCGGAAGCCGTTGAATCATGCTCTATGTAACTTGAGCTCTGAATGACTGATTCCCAGGGATACGTTTTTACCTGTATCAGCGTCAGTGGTAGTGTTAAATTCTTAGCGGTTGGGGGCTGAGTCAAGAGTCATTGGAGGGGGTTAGTAGAAGTTTGATTTAAAAGTATTTTGCGTTGTGTTCATACACTGCACTCACCAATTTATAATTATTTTCATTTTTCTAGCTAAAAACAGGTTATAAGATTGTCATCCAACCACACTATACTACTCAATGGAATAAATCATACTAAAAAATAACCACTATCTGTTATTTCAGCCATTTCCTTTCTCAAACATCTCTGTAATATCATTTTAAAGAAGAATTATTTATTCCATGTTTTTTAAAGCATATTCAGTGCAATTACTTAGCCTGTATAGTAATGAATTTGATGAACTTCAAGTAATGAATACTTATTCTGATATGTAACTAATCCATAAGAACTTTATAAATATTGCCAAGAGACTATCTTTTCAACACAACTGTTATTATGACAAGTGTGTGTAAATTTGTAAACATGACGGTAGGCATTTAAACAACTGTGAACACTTACCTACTTTTGAGATTGAACATTAGGGTTTGCTTAATTGTAGTTTACAGCTTTTAGACTTAACTTTGCCTGTAATGTATATACTAATCGAATAAACAATAAGTGCTCTTAATTTTTATATACACACTAGTTTTGGCGTTGGATTTACTTCCATACTTATTTGAAGAGGTATTATGATGACTGCTCCATTAAACAAAGAACCTCGAAAAATTAATAATCTTGCTTCAAAACAGTTGGTTCATTTTACAGATTGCAATGGCACAACGAGAGGATAGAGTTGACCCAAAAAGTAGTGTCCGACAAAGCTGTCCACAATCTCCATTTTTGTTCACTTTCATCATAAACCTACTGCTAGATTTAAGTTCTCGTCGTCCGAATTTTCGGGAATTGATCTTCCAGGAGGTCCACATATCGACTTAGAATACACAGATGATATAGTCCTGTTTGGTGAAGACGCCGACAAAATACAGAGTCTTGATAGCATTGAGCATCAATGCCAGGATGTTTGGGTTGCGTTCCTCCCCCTCAAAATGCAAGTTATTGCTTCAGGACTGGTGTGCGTCAACACCTGAACTAAGGATAAGGAGTGGAGTAGTCGGACGCGCCGACAACTTCACTTATGTTGGGAGTCTGATCAGCTCTGATGGGTTGGTGTCTGAAAAAATCTGTGCGCAGATCCAAAAAGCTTGTTTGGTTTTTGCCAACTTGTGTCACCTGTGGCGAAGGCGAGATATCCGTCTATTACTTAAGCGCCGAGTGCACTGTGCAGCAGTTCTGTTTTACTTTACGGCTGCGAAACGTGGCCATTAAGGGTAGAAGATACTCGTAAGTTGCTAGTATTTGACCACAGATGTCTTAGAAATATTGCCAGCATCTGCTGGAATCACCGGGTAAGTAATAGTGAGGTTAGACTCAGGGTATTAGGGAATGATGGTAAATCAGTTGATGCGGTTGTGAATCTTCATCGACTGAGATGGTTGGGCCACGTGTTACATATGCCTGAACACTGATTACCAAGATGCACAATGCTGACTAGTGTTGGGGATGGTTGGAAGAAAGTTAGGGGCGGCCAAACCAAAATGTGGCATCAGTCCTTGAAGTCACTAACTTCTGGTTTGAGCCATGTTGGTAGATGCAGACTACTTGGTTGGGGTCGGCGTGGCTATCGTAACCAATTGTTGGAGACTCTTGGTGACATGGCTCATAACCGATCATAGTGGCGTAGGTGTACACACTCTAGCTTCCTTTAAACGATGAGATTAAAATTGCTTTATATCTTTTCTTCTACCAACTAATTCTTTCTTCCTTTACTATATCTTTATATGCTATTTTTCTTCTATATTTTACCACTATTGAATCAACTACTTCTCTCTGAATTCGGTGTTCATTTTGTTGTGCTAATGAGGTGTGGCAACTTGGATCGATGCATATATGTTCCTGGTCCTACGTAGTAACTGACTGACTGACGAAAAGTTTGATACATTTGCTCTATATACTTCAAGTAATTTGGTCGTACATAAATCTAACATGGGATTTATGGAAACTAGTAAAGGTTAATTCAACAAAAGGCCTAATTAACATGAAGTGATAAAGGAAAGGGAAAATTGATGTAAAATGGAAAAAATAGTTTTTCGCACCACTTCATGGTGTAAAGTGGATTAAAGGATTACCAGGGTGAAATCAAAGTTAGACTAAATTATTTTTGTGCACATAAAGAAGTTCTGGGTTTTATAGTGGTCAAAGTTTCTATAAATTTAAGAATTTATACACAGAGCTTTAGGTTCTGTCTTTAGAACAGTGTTATGACCTTTCCTTTAGTTCTTATCAACCCTTTTGTTATATCCGAGCGAAGATTAAATCACGAGTAACTTCTGAGACATATTAATTGACTAATATTGTCTATATATTCTTATGGTATATCTATTCAATAATTGGATTATGTATATTTATATTCCTCTTATTATAAGCTTTATTTTGACCTATAATTTATTATTGTACGATTTAATGTTCTTAAGCTGTGTTCAGTTTATTGACTACTGCCTCCCACGTTCAGAGCTACTTTTTGGCTTTATTGTGTATGCATGTTATTTCCTATTTTATGGTGCGTTGCGGTCTGTCTGGTTGATATATAAACCCAGTATGTCTGAAATAAAGGATTCGATTCGATTCGCATAGTGGAAGCTGGTATTGGTGTTCTGGACTCAAGTGGACGGGCTAGGCGAACATAGGACTAATAAGGACACTAGGCTGCTCATACGGGTCGAACGTCATTGGTTTGGCACAGTGTGAAGATTGTATAAGTCGTATTTTGATTGGTAGATAAGTCACCTGATAACTACCCGGACATAAAGTCATAACACCTTTGTTGATCGATACGGATTTCACAGGTTCCAGCCCCATTCCACCTACTTAAAACTGAACAGTTAGATAATATCCCTAACCTTGATAAAACAAATACGTCCCGAAGCTAATTTCCTGCTTATATATGTTTGTTGTATCTGTGATGAGAATTAGTTAGCTTAATAGTCTTAAAGTTTATTATCGAAATATTATAACCTAATTTTTTTATGCAATTCGAAAATACCAAGGAAATAGTGCTAAAAAATTTAGTAAAACCCAAATGTGACCACCTTAAGTGAATACAAAGTAATTATTTGTCAACGATTTGCCCCAATCACTGACTATCGGGAAGACAAAAGCAATTTGCGAAGAATATATATCTCTGATGAGAAAATAGCATTATTCATGTACATATTTCCTTTTCAATGATTAAGAATTATGTTTCAATACTTATAACCCACAACGAATTTCTCACTTAATAAATATCAAAACTGAATGAAATAATTCTCAGACTATACGATAGAATCTTATATATAACTAGTTTATAGATGAGTTGGTCAAAATTCCATAGAACGTTAAAATAAAAAAATTACTTTATTGAATTAATTATTAGTTTTTACTTTTAATCATCTCTTATCACGAAATGAACTTAATTATTCAGTTATATTGTTGCATGTAATAGGTAGTCAAGTTTCAATTTCAAATTGTTTATTTTTTTCAATTTCAGTGTAGAAGAAGCCGTAAATGTAGCTAATCACATGCTTGGTCATCGAATCTACACTGCACAAACCGGTGACACCGGCCAATTATGCAATACATTATTAGCATGTGAACGTAAATATTCTCGACGTGAACATTATCTAGCTATTGTCCTAGATCGTTCTAGTGGTGGACCAGTAATGATTGGTTGTCAACAGGGTGGTGTAAATATTGAAGATATAGCACGTGATAACCCAGATGCTTTAATTAAAGTAAATCAGTAGACATTTTTATGGTTTGTACTTTGATTATGTAAATGTTGAATGTGAATAATAAACAATTCAAATTCCTACTAGTAATGATATAAGTATCATAATTGTTGAACAATTTAGCGGCTATCTGTATTCAAAAGCTCAATGGATAACGAGTTGGGTGTTTGAAGTGAAAAACACCTTGGCTCGAGTTCAAATGTAGATACCAACACTGGGATGTGCCAGGTACATCCTACTGACAAGTCCCAAGTAGGGTTAGACATTCATCTCGAATTCTACTACTATTCATAATATATCCCTTCTGTAATTGCTCTTGGCAACATATAGACCTAATGACTGATTGATTTCAACTATAACTATTAATTTTATAGGTAAGTAACAAATTTTAGTTGGCACCAAGGATTAGATAAATATGACATTAGTGTTACTACTTAGTAGTCGGTGAGTATAAAAATCTCAGTCCCACAAGAGGCCAGTCATAACTTGGATTACCCAGTTGTGGTGATGTTTCTGACTGTGATACTGAGTAGCGTGGGTAGCATCAGTTGTCTGTTTAATAATCTAAATAGTGACATAGGTTTCTGGAAAGAAATTGGAAGTCGGTAAATACGATTGTAGATCTTCGACATCTGAGATGTTTGGGTCGAGTTACGTATCCCTAACCACTGCCTATCCTAACATGCAATTTCAGGTTCAGTATAAGTTGGAAAGAAGCTAAAGGCGGACAAATTAAAATGTGGTATCAGTCCATGAAGTCATTCACTATTGGTGTAACCTATGTTTCTAGATCCCAACTTCCTGGTTGCAGTAGTTATGATAACAGTGACCAGTGGTTGATGTTGGGTGACATGGGTCAAAATCGATTACATTGGCTCAGGTTCATTTACTCTTCGTTTTCCTATGGATGTCAAGTTGCAGTATTTCTTCATACATACCTTTCGATTTCGTCCTGTCTTACCTTACTCCCAAGGTTTAGTCTTCCCTATTACCACTGGTACCACAGTTCAACTCCTTTGTCATTCATCTTATTAATTTAATCTCATCGTGGTTATATAATGTGACAATTTGAGCTAACCTACTTTTATTGGACACTGTATCTGTTGACGTTGACTAATTAAAAACTGCTTGTTGATCGCTTCCAACCACTTAACATCAAAATATTACAAGTAATACAATTTGCGTAGAATTTCAAAATGATATTATTTATAAGTTTAAGTGACCATGATTTTACTAGGTATCTAATTGAAAATAATTTAGTTTAATATAATTTTCATCTCAAACTGTAACTTAATAACACTATGCAATGGCTTAGTGGTTAATTCATTCAACCTTCAGTCATTCGATCCTAGGCTAGAACGTCCCCCTTACCTATTTTGGTGTGACCGATCAGGTGGCATCATTAGCTCTCACACTTGGAATGTAGCTCATATCTAAGTACTTGATAAATAACTTAGTTTATTATCTACTATTAATATTATGCATGTTTCATAAATTTCAGCATGAACTCAATTCAGTCGAAAGTCATAGGTGTGTGTACACTGATGAGTAGTGGTAGCAGTAGTAGTAATAGTAGTCCTAAAATATTAGAAAATACAGTTATCCAGTGTTTCATGGTTTTTCTAATACTTCTTTAACTGAATTCAATCCATGATGATTATTGTCAAAAGTGAATAAATAAAATTTAATAATGCACACACACGTGTGTACACGGTGAAACTACTGAATTCCAAGTTATTTTTTATGAGTATAAACACAGACACACACATACTTTGTAACAGGTTTAGAACAGTGTGCATATTTCTGTTACTACTTTCTGTCCATTATCAACAGATAAAGCAATTCGCTTTCTTTCTTCAATCTGATGGATCTATTCCAATTAAATCATATAAACTTGAGTTACATATACAAGAACGAAACACTTTCATCAACGTAACGTCACTGATAACTGTACTTTAGTATGATCAGTTATATAGTCGTGTTTTCTTGACTCATCAGTGCATCCACTTACCTTCTAAATAACTTAATTTCCTTCTGTGAATTGTGTATTTGTGTTCCGACGCGTCGGTGGTTCAATGGTAGGATCCTCGCCTCCCACGCGAACGGTCCGGGTTCGGTTCCCGGCCGACGTAGGCCGCCTTGCCTCTAAATGCCCTGGTACGGCGGATGGTGGGAAGAGCCCACTTTCCCTCTCGAGATGCTCTAAAGTGGCCACGTGCATAGAACCACTGCTAGGGAAGTCCTACCCATTGCTTTCTCGTGGCGGGGGTATTGTTTACGAAATTGAGAGGATGAAAAACGAATATCCGACGCTTTAACTGGGTTGGTGGATACGGAGGATACACCTAGAGGAGTTGGAAAACCCTGATTCCAAACCAATGGTACACATGGGCTCCAGAATCCTGAGGGAACAAATGTCTTATGAACCAATTGTTGATCATCGGTTACCATGGGACTGCGTCTCCTTATGTTGCTCCACTGCCTTGTGGATCAGACCTTTAGGTCAAAGGCTCAGGTTGTGGCCCCGTAAGAAAACCACTTCCTTCGGTTTGGGGACCCGGGTAGTATCCCAGTTCTCTCATAAATCGAATGATTTATGTGGCGCATATCTGTTTTGTGCCTCCTTGTACTAATGTTTATGTGTTTAAATAAATAAATATATATGGCGTGAACTAATCGAGCGTGTTGTTCATCGCGTTCCTCATGGGAGTTCCGTCATTCTTCTTAAGTTTGATGGCTAACAAAATATCGCTACTGATCCAAAAATCTCCCTTGATGCTGCTTGTATTGCAGGCGAAATGTCTGACCGTTAACCAAGGATCGAACGTACTCTTTAGCAATCAGATATGTATCATCGTGTGACTATAAAATATAGTTTGTGAAAGTAGAAAAAATACATTGACTGCATACATTAAATCCTAGATATATCTTTAAAACATTGCTCACATTTTGCAAAACTTCGTAGTGAGTGTATTGTATGAAATCGTTTTCGGACTTCACTGTAAAATAGTCACAAACTCATTATCATTAAACAGAACTGTTCAATGCACCATCGTTTCCAATAGTTCTGCGACCTTTTATTTGTAACAAATATCTCCAGGAAACATTTTAACCAGTATTCAATTACTATTCTTTCTGAAAAAAATTTATTGTACACCTTTTAGATTCCAGTTGATATTAACAAAGGTTTAAATAAAAAAGATGCTTTATTTATGGCGCATAAATTAGGTTTTACACATCCAGATGAAGCAGCTATATACATTGAACGACTTTATAAACTCTTTGATTCATCCGATTGTACACTATTAGAAATTAATCCAATTTCTCAAGATATAAATGGAAAAGGTATGTGTTGTTAAGACTTTTCTTTCTTGATTTGAATATTGTTTTGTCACTTTCCTCCCTCCTCTCTCTATCTCCTCGTGCTATGTTTTTTCGAGTTTTTATTGGTCTGTTATTTTATTGAAATCATGAGGCGATCTGCGTTCAACAACTGTTGGGAAGCTGAAATTACTGAATGGCCATTTCGTCCTAGTATGGGACTTCCAACAATGTATATTTACAAACCCGCAATCTTGAATCTGACCCAGAACCTTCGGTCTCGCTCATGAACTATTAACCTCTAGATCACTGAGCCGGGACCCAGTAGTTTACAAGTCTAACTTCAATCAGACATGATGATGACCTTGTGTGAATCCTTAACGAATTTGTATACGTTCAATTTAGAAGACGGTTAGTTAGTTCTCTGAGAAATAATTATTAGAATCCTGTTTACCATGTAGAAGAAGGTGATCATACATAGTGAATGTTCCAATTTTTGATCAATCTCTTGGTATTTGAACTTGGATATAGACCATACTATTGACGGTTCTCTAAGCTTAAGTTGGACATCAATATTAATATCAAAGCCAATCAACTGATGAGCAACAAATAGAGTAAGACACCTTTCCTATATTTCTCTCCCATTCACTATTCAAAATATATTCTATGTTCTCAGCTAATCTCACGTCTTTGAATGCTTAAAGGAGAATATGAGAAATCAACGTTTAAATGCAAATTTCTTGTCGTATTAACATATGAATATACTTGAAACTGAATTTGAAAAGTGTATGTACGTGAAAAAGACGACGGTTATGCCAATAATTCTTCTTTTCTCGCATCTGTATTTTTTTCTTTTATTTCTATGTTTGAACTAGTTGTTTGTATGGATTGTAAAATGAATTTCGATGATAATGCTGCATTTCGACAGAAAGAGATTTTTGCACAACGTGATTGGTCACAAGAAGATGAACGTGATGTAAAAGCATCAAAGGCTGGATTAAATTATATTGGTTTAGATGGAAATATTGGTTGTTTAGGTAAGCTGTGATAATAATCATGATAGATATTTGTTTTACCTACATTTCACTTGTTGGAGTGTTGTTATGTATGATCTTAGCTATTGTCACAATGTAATGTTCGGTTTTGCATATCATGATAACTTGATTAAACTATATTAGGCGAGATATTCCTTTATTATTATTATTACTATTATTATTATTAACTGATGCGCGTTGGTTGTCCTTGTCGAGAGTCGATTTGTTCGATATTCAGTGACCCAACTGCCAAATGATTGAGCTAAGGCTCAGTGATATAACAATGGCTATACAGCATCAACTCTGGGATGTAAAAGGTACATCTAACCGACAAGTCTTAGGTAGGATGAAATGCTCATCTTAGATTTCACTAATGACCACAATCCATCTATTCTATAAAAAATCGAGACTATAGTTCTGAAGAATGCCTGATCAGAAGATAATCGGTTGGTCATCGTCAACATAGCCTGACACAGATGCGCGTTGACAACACTGAATAGTGAGTCTGTGGAGCAGCGATTTATTGGTTAAGGCATTTGAATTTCGTCTACTAAGTTTAAAGTGCGAACATTGTCCTACCTACTTCGGTTTTGGGAATCGTGTAGTATCATTAACCCTCCCACTTAGAATATAACTTATGATCCAAGGTGTTCGCTCTATGATTATTGAACTCCTTGTAAATTCCCTACTGCCTCTTGTTTTTCAATAGACGTCCATTTATTATAATAATTATATATATATATATATATATATATATATATATATATATATATATATATATATATATATATACTGGACACTTTCTTCTACATACTACGAATGACGGTAGAAATCTCAGTAAATTTTATGATAGCATTATGAATTATATCAAATGAGTTGAGTTTCAAGGGATAATGATGATCCAATAACGAATGAATGTCTATTGTAATATCACATTGTAAGCTCAAAACATCGATACAACATAAGAAACTGTTCGCTAAATGAATTAAAATACACCACAATCTATATGTATAGATTTTTTGTATTTTTGTACATATCCTTCGATTTTTTTATTTTGCACCAAGGTTGTCGTCACGTGTCTAGATTCTTCTTTTTCTAAATGGAACAAATCGATATCACCCTAAATTTGACCTATTTTTTTCTGAATTCTAACAAATCGTTAGTTTTCATTATTTCACATCATTGATGCACTTTAACTGTATATAAGCATTTGGAAACTAGATAACCTTGATCGGCTAACTATGCCATCTTAATATAGCACTCATCAATAATGCACTTCGATGACTCCACCCTGTGTTGAACCCACTTTGTTCAGTCTTCGCGGTTGTCTCTTTTCTTTCAGATCACTAAACTGGTAACATCCAATGATTTATATTTCTAACTCGAGTCAATTCACAATATTACTCATCCATTACCCAGTGCTGTTTGTTATTACACTGTCGCACATCCGACAGGGCTGAACTCCTCTAGTCACTGAATTACCTTTTGAAAGTAGTCACTAGTGCGAGTATATAATCATTGTCAGTGAACAGGGCGTTATGTGGAGATTATCCAAATTGGTAGATTACATCATGCACCGACCTTAGACAACCATAGAAAACAAGATGGTAACACTAGACAGTCAGGTGGTTCGTCTCAGTATATGATATCTCTTTGTGGTGCGCATTGACGAATCTATCAGTTATTGAGACCCAAAAATTCAAGCAATTTTATTGTTTCCTTTTTAATTCGAAATATATATATATATATATCGTGATTCTACCATCATTCTGATTATATTTTCATTTTGAAACTCCAATAAATCTTTTCAGTTAACGGAGCTGGTTTAGCTATGGCTACTATGGATTTAATTCAATTGCATGGTGGTAATCCAGCGAATTTTCTTGATATTGGCGGTGGAGCGACAGCTGCTCAAGTGACTGAAGCTTTTCGTTTAATCGTATCTGATTCGAAGGTCAATGCTATACTAGTAAATATTTTCGGTGGTATTATGCGTTGTGATGTGATTGCACAAGGTATTGTAACAGCTGCTACAGAATTAAACATAAAAGTACCAATTGTTGTACGACTTCAAGGTTGGTGATTTATTATTATTATTATTTATTATTATTATTATTATTATTATTATTATTATTATTATTATTATTGACATGCCATATATTCTGAAGGTAAGGCGATTTCGCGCAAATTTTTCAAGTTTATTTTTCATCATAAACTCATCAGTTAGTTGGTGAATCAGAGGTTTCTGGGTCCGAGTCCCGCGTGCGGAATCGTGAATGAGCACTGCTGAGGAGTCACATACTATGATGAAACGACCGTCCAGTGCTTCGAGGTTTTCAGTGGTAGTCCAATATTGATCGGTTCACGATCTCAATATTTATCATTTTGCTGCATTGTAATATAGAGTTGCAGTGGTTTGTCTTGATTAAAACACTCATCTCTCAACCCATTTCATTGGTTGTATGTGCGAAATTCTTTCCGTCTATTATTTTAATTTCATTAACTGGATAGTACTCAGTCAGCCATAAGCAACACAAGACATGAGAGAGATGTATATCAGTTCAAGTTGTAACACCATAATAGTACAGTAAGATTTCCAGATTTGTGGAAGTGGTGGTAATTAAAAAAATCTAAGCATATTCAATATAATCCAAGAGGAAAAAATAAGTTCTAGGAATAATAAAGTGCACGATTATTTTCTAAAATCTCAAGATCTTAGTAAAGACAAAGAGTGAATGCATCTGCGCCATTATGACTGATTTCAAGTGATATAACTCAACGTTTCCACCAACCATTGGATAGTACCAATTGTTAAAGAAGTAAAAATAAATATGTTCCTTCATACTCCAAATACACAAAAATATATACTTGGTTACTAAGGTGTATTTGATTTTTAATTAGTACTGAGTTTGTTTTCTCTACATTTAGGTACATATATTTATATTCACCTAATTCCACAATGTATCACTTATGTACTCTACACATTTTTTATGCATTAATTCTACATAGAATACTGTATACAAATGTTGTTATTCTTAACAAGAAATATAATCTTTTATAATTTCAAGACAGTTTAATAAAACATAGTCATAGTATAATGAATGACTGTTGGTGGAAAAGATTTGTAGCTCGGATGGATGATTTTATTGGAGTTTTGTCCTCTGAAATGGATGATTTGAACGTGGAGCTTTCATTGTTCTTATAAACAGCATCATCAGCTCAAACTTTTCTCATCATGGATAAACATAGGACCAAGAATCAGATCAAAAGGAAATACAATCGATAATAAAGGGGTAAATAATGACAGGTTAAAGTTCAACAATAAACAATGACGATCGAGGTCTACAGGACAAGTTGGGAGTGATATGTGAAGAAATTCGAAAATTTCACTTCTACTTGAAGTTTGTACTGATGATGTCGTTCAGAAAAACAATGAACAGCTCTACAACCAAACCATCCAGCTCAGAGAATTAAACTCCACTAAACCGAATCATGAAATTAATGGTATCTTGATATTGTTTTACTAGGTAACCTTTTATAAAAATATTTTTTGTGTGATTAGTTTAAAAACGGTTTGTGAAAATTGTCAAATTTCACTGACTCATTGTAATCGAACAACCGTTAATACTCATGAAACACTAAACAACTGTTTTATGCTAGTTTGGGACTCTTCATTTACAATGCACATCCACCACGGATCGAATGAAAGACTTTCAAGTCTCAAAGTAATCGTTTAACGTTTAGATTAATTAACCGGTATCTAATAGTGTTTCTATATCTATCTTCAATCAATTCACAATATTTTAAAACCATTTTTCAATGGTCATTGATATTGGATGATTGGCTTATCATCCAATATAATTGAACTTCATCAGTTATAGCTTCTTACTAGAACTCAAGGAATAATCACCTTTTGAAATCAATGACTAGTGAGCACATGATTTCTATGTAAGTATGTATTATGCTAGTCATCTCGAGTTATTTTTTTTTTATCAAATGTAAGTAGTTATTTTGCAAAAAATATCCCTTAATACATTTTAATTAGTACTATTTATATTATTATTGTTTTCTTTTCATTTTCACAATATATTTTCCCATAAAACTAACAAACAAACAAAAACCAATCACTATTAATAACATCAATAAATAAATAAAAATACTAAGGGACTAGAGTTGAAGACGCTAAAGCAATTCTTGCTACAAGTCATATGAAAATTCTAGGTTGTAGTGATTTAGATGAAGCTGCTCAAATGGTATGTTTCATTTCAGAATTTCGTTGTGTTTTCCTTTATTATTATTATTATTATTATTATTATTATTATTATTATTATTATTATTATTATTATTATTATTCATACATAGCTGGTATTTCTATTGTTAGTTGAATAAAAGTATAGTGTTTGAGATAAACTGGTTGGTTAGTTTGTTCTCATAAAAAATGTTCACATAAATTGGGAACTCTTCATCTCAGTCAATAAGTAGAAAGTTTATGAATATGCAAAAGTGTATTACTAGATTTCCAAATCTTAATTTCATAGAAATCTCTCTCTACGTACCTGGCCTGTCGTATGCCCTGATGGTGTTCTCGTCACTTTCGGGTTGCCTGATCTGCCAAGGGCGATGGGACACTGCATGATACTATTGTTGTGTGCTAGGTTCGAAGAGAATTGTATGCTATATGCATGCGAATCTACCCCGTTATTGTTCCTATCTCTTTACGTAACCTCATCAGTCTGTGTATGTGTGGTTCGAATTTATCCACACACACTGAATGTTTCTTTCTAAATCTTTCTCATAAGTCATAAATAGTTTTAGTTTGAAAATTTATCATCTCATTTTTCAAATTCTTTGTTCATACATTCGCTGAATAATTATAAAGATGAAACGATAAGCAAAGAACTAGCGTGGAGACGATTTGCAGCTAAGGTGGATGATCGTGGTGCTGGTTTGAGTGAGACTATAATTTATGCACGACCTTTGAGCGAATCTTAAGTGACCTTGAGGAATGTTAGCCAATCACCGAACAGTCGGTATAGAGTAAAAATATATTCTACAAAACCAAAGAAATAAAGCGGATACACTCCTTATACGTGGTTCAAAAACTTATCAAAGTTAGAAAGAGGTTCAGAGGTTCTAAAATCTTAATGTATGCAGTAGAAGAAATCATCAATATGGCTACAGAATAATCGGCCTCTGGAGCCATGATAAGGTCGCAAAAACTTTCAGACTCGACCACATAGCTTCAATATTGTTTGTGTGCCTCCGGTTATTAGTCCCAAAAATGCCACTTATGGATAACTACACGATGCACATAACTAAGTCTATGTAGGAGTCTATACGCTCTCCAACACATCCGTATATAGTGCAGTACCTCGCTGCAGCTAGTGTTACTGGTGCTTTTATTATCCAGTTCGCAATAATTGTCATAATTTGCCTTAGTTAAGAATTGTATATGGGGTTTTCATCACGAACTGACATCAGCTATAACGCCAAAACTATTTAGCCAAATGGATGAAAGGCTTTCGCGCCAAAATCCGAGACCTGTTATCTTATACCTGAATGATTCGTCCACAAATTATATTCTCGCCGTTTTATTTGTTATAGCCGCTCAATTATCACGTTTTGTACCAAATTCTCTGTGAACCGATCGTACGTTAGCATTAAGCACTGAAGTTGGTGCAGTGACCTTGAAATCTCAGACGCTTCTGATTGGCTCGTCCACAAATTAGAGACTCGCCACTCTAAATAGAAGTAATGTGTTCGAATGGAAGGTACAATCAAAATAACGGAGTAAACAATGACAAGTTAGTGGTCAACAATAACCAATCAAGATCGAGATCTACAGGACAAGCCGCGAGTCATATGTAGAGAAATTCAAACACTTCACTTCTACTTGAGGTTTGTGCTGATGATGTCGTTCAGAAGAACGACAAAAGCTCTACAACCAAACCATCCAGCTTAGAGAACAAAACTCCACCAAGAAGAACTAGCGTTATTACACAAGTATTGATAAGATGAAGTTGTGCGTAGGAATCGTTCTCGATTATTCAATGTGTCACTACTGATAAAACGTTCTCTTCAGTTTACCAGTGCTTGAAGTCACTAACTTCTAGTGTGAGCCACGTTGGTAACTGCAGACTACTTGGTTGGAGTCCACGTGACTATCGTAACCAATGGTTGGAGACTCTTAATGACATGGCTCAGAATCGATCATAATGGCGTCAGTGTTTACACTCTCTGTCTTCCCTTAAACTAAGAGATTAAAATCACTTCATATCTTTCTTCCTGTACTATATCCTTATATGCAATTTTTCTTTTATATATTACCGCCACTGAATTAACTACTTTTTTGAATCCGGTGTTCATCTTGTTGTGTTAATGAGGTATGGAAACTTGGACCGATGCATATATGTGCCTGGTCCTACGTTGTAACTGACTGACTGAACACCGATTGATTCACATGTTATATTAAATTCAAATAGAAAAGAAAGTAAACAGTTGGCATGTTTAACATTGTCACTTTTTGTTTTATTCTATAATATAACAGAAAGAATTCTTCTTAACAATTTTAGGTATTCTAAGCATTATCTAAAAAGGTTTATTTTGATCAGACATTTTATATTTTGGAGGATAAAACTAGTAATAGTAAAGTATATGGATGAATTTAAAATAAGCGGCCGTTTAAGCCAATCAGATAAAAGTTTTTACAAAGAAATAACTTTTACAGAGAAGAAAAAACACATTAATATCTCAATGTGTAAACAGATTTCATATAATTCATGAATGGTTTAAGATTATATAATGGTTTTTCCGTCTGTAACCCGAGAAAACGACTTCATACAAATTGGCCCAAATGCATATGAACATCCGTATTCACGAACTGCTATAAGGAGTCAAGAAGATTTTCACGAATCCCCAGATCATTTCGGATTACAGTTAAGATTAAAGGTTTAGGGTCAAAATTTCGGAACAGTTTATTTACATGTTATATGCATTCTACATAGGAAAGATTGAGCACCTGATACGTTTAACACTATTATTTCTACCTTATGGTGGAAATACTTAATTTTCGTCATCACTTTAACGTTCTGAACTCTACATAAAGGTATTTCTACTACTAGTCTTACGTCATGTCAAGTGGAAGTCATTCATTTTTGATTTTCTCATAAATACTTAACAGTCTTTTCCTCAATTCAGATTGGATTGTTTATTATGCCCAATAACTAAAACAGGTGACCAATCAAGTTCCATCACTTTGACTCAGGTCTAATCTCGAGATGACTTTATCTTTGCTTCAGTACCAAATCGATAAATAATTTATAATCTTTTTTTATTTACATAGACATCAATTTCAATTTGTTTATGTTATCCCATCCCTCATTTGTTCGCCTATATTTGACAGTTAATGTTTGCACCTTATGTTGTGCACTGAACTGGAAGTTTGCTTATATCTTTATAGAATAATGTCATTTTGTTTACCAAGTACATTAGCTTATGTAGACGGAACTTTGTGTCATAATCTAGTTATTTTAAGAGTTAATGATACACTACCTCTCGATCACTGAAAACGACAAAGTACATCAGGACGGGATTTAAACCTGTGATCTTGTTGACTAAAAGTCGAGAATATCCCAAACTACCAAGCCACCTTTTTACATTCATAGAACGATTCACTGATAGTCCAATTTCAACTATCCAACTTAATTAGCACTATGTACTCCATCGTTTCAGAGAACCATCAATATTATTACACTGTCATGCATATAATCTGTAAATGTTAGCAATTTATTTATTTAGAATTCAAATTACCATCACATTGTTTACCCTCACGTTTTTTTCGGAGAAATAATTGTGTTATGTAACTTCGCTTATTGCCTTTATTTTTTTTATTTTTTTAATTTCTCAGTCTGTTAAACTCGCTAATATTGTTCATTTGGCTCGTGAAGCTGCTATAAATGTGAAATTCGAACTGCCTTATTAATTAATAATGTGATTATAGTAATATTATTACAATAAGCAAAGATGAATAGTTCGAAGGAATGGGGACATCACGTTATATTGAATGGTGATGAATCCAGTAGTTCGGTTTATACTACTATTATTATCGTTATTATTACTATTATTATTATTATTATTATTATTATTATTATTATTATTATTATTATAACTTACTTCCGAAAGATAGCAGTCATTGTGTGGTCTATTCAATTCTGTTTTGTCATATCCTTTTGTACGAATGAATGTACAATGACGGTAATGTGATTATTGTTTTATACGACAGATTTAAATATCTACTGCATTACGTAATACATTGATTTTGTTGCATAAGAATTTCTCATACTTTGATAGAAAATCCTTAACTAAACAATCACTTATTATCATTGTATTTTGGTTGCAGTTAGCTCAGCGACACCACCCACATCACCCCTCCACACACAGAGTTTATTTTACGTTGAAAATAGAGAGTATACAAAACTTCATTTTCAAAGTATAAAAATGCTAGTATACCTACCATACAACTATTTTGCCAGAAGAAAAAGATGAATTCAAATCTTTATTTCACTTAAAATATCGTTTATCTCTATTGTTTTTCTTATCTTTCATCGTTATTCACTATTAGTTACATATACTACTATTTGTTGTCCTGTGATAGTAGTAATAAATGGTATTGCTCGGAGATAATTCATGTTTGAATTTCTTTTCATTTCTTTGTATTCGTTTATACACCTACAATCAAACGTGTATATATATCCGCGTACAGAGGGAAGTGGTTACTTCAGTTTTCTTTTTCCTCTTACTCTTTCATTTGCACACCGTCCAGATTCATCCCCACAGGGACACTGTCATCCATATTTCAACTGTTAACTTTTCGAAGGTTTTGATGAATTTTTAAGAAAGACCATGTAACATTATTTGATAGTCCGTTTTCAAACATCTTTAAGAATATTAGCTAGATGAATATATTAGCAGGGATATGAGGATCAAATATATTTCTTTCAGATCTCCTTTCATTTAATCATCCCGGTTTACATGAATAACATATACTCTCTAAGGTTTTGAACGTCAGTTGACGGTATGTCAAAAACAAACCGTAGTAAAGTTAATTCATCTAATGAGTTTGACAAACCGGGAAGCCTAGAAAGGTACGGCGTAATTTCGCTATTTGATATAACGATCAATAAGTGATAGATCTCTATTTCATTTACTGACAAGTGACCTACAAGAATTATATCTTACAACTAAATTTTTTAAATCATATTTATTTATGTGCAATGTTTTACTAGTAAGGAATAACCAGTCATTAATTAGTTCAATTTCTTAATATTCGTTCCTTGAGGGGAGCTTTGCGTCAATAATTCAGTTTTTATGAACAGCTATCAGTTATCCACTTTTCATTAGGAGGCCTCAATAATTCTTTGAAAAGGTTTTCAGAACATAGGAGAACACTCCGACTAATCAGTGTTTTTTGGAAACTTTCAAGAGAATTCTCTGGAAACGACAATTTGTGTTGTAATTATCCTATCGGGCAGTCGCCGATTTTGTTACCAATTTTAGTGTATTTTTCAGACGCTCAACGTCACATTTAGTCAAATAATTACCTAGATCTTCTGTGCACGAACTAACCTTGGAAGTAAAGCTTCATCTACCACTTCCTTTTGCTTTTTTTGTTCAGGACTCGAGAATACAAAATATCTGGGGGCTAGAAAGCAGGTAGGAAGTCAGTGTCTAAGATTTCGGTTACTTGACGTATCACACATAATTATCAAATTAAGCGATCGGTCGCACATTCGTACACAAATACTAGTGTTATTTGCAATCATGCCCAACGTAGAACCCTAGCTCAAGTTCCCACACCACATCAGCACATTGAGACGTCCGACTAAAAGTAGTACCTGTATTAGTGGTATTAGCAAAAACTAGGTATCAGTAATATTTTTCTAGAAAAAAATATGAATTCGTGGAGTAGAAAGAGTATCAGATGAAATATTGAATTTCGTGGATGCTTCTGAGCCATTTCACCCAATATATGTAACCATTGATTTTGTGATATTCGTGCGGACCCTAACTAGGTAATATCCATTCACTATTGACACGGTTCAAATGAACGCTAACTGATTTCATAAACTAATATCACGTCTTGGTACATACATATTGCTAACAAAGACTGATTGAAGTTCAGTCGCTAACATCAGCAACAAGATAAATTACGCCCTTACTATCAATATTTTTGAAAAAAAAGATTCCTGAAGCTATTACATGAAACATAACCATTAGCAGACACAATAACATTGACATAAAATCGACCGAATGATGAAAAATAGAAGTTGACAAGTAAAGCAAACAGGTAGATGAAATATGTAAAAATCCTAGGAAAAAAGAACAAAGCACACTTAGGTTAATGCTTCTGTGTACAACCGAACCGATTACAATTGAAAAAGCAACTTAGAGGTTATGGTGCATAGAACCAGGATATTGACCGTGGATTGTTTCAACATGAGACTATTTGTGTCGCCTCTGAATGGTAACGTAATATAAACTCGCTTTTTGGGTGCCAGAAGCGTCATAGGTCTAGTCGTATTGCAACCCTTCCAGCGGTTTATGAACTTCAAAGAATAACCATTATTCATTAACGTATCAGTCAAGAGCTTCGTCTCTACTTAAATTAGCTATCAACTGGACATTTTATGCATCCCAACTTGTCATTATTGAAAAGACAAGGTCTATGTTTCACCAAACAGCACTAAAACGATTGTGTCACATCCCACTGCGTCTATCATTTTACATGCTTGTGTGGAAACACGTACATAGGGAGGAACAGTCGTGATTTGCAATTAAGGATGGGTGAACATATACCAAAATGGTTGCAGAATCAGATGAATTCCAATGGTCGAATAAGATCACAGGATAGAGACATCATCCTCCATTGCGAAACATTTGATTGAGACGGGTCATAAGGTTGACATCAAATCAGCATTTTTAGTGTTATACAAAAACTTTCAACGACGTATACTAAGGTTTATCGAAGCCTTGGTTATACGGAAATCGAACCCCCCTTTATGTGTTCAAAATCAATTTGTCCTTACACTTAACCTATCCTGGTAATACTGATTTATTATCCAGAGTGGTAATCACTTTTGTTTTTGTGTACTTTTTTTCTATGTTACGGCTTATCTTTAATCTGTGTGGTAGACCTCTTAATTTTCATAGAACAAATGTCTTAACAAGTATATGTGTGATCAGACTGTTCGAAATGTATTGCGCAAATATAAACTTCGTCTTCTTATTGCATTATCGAAATTTATCAAAGGGACTAATTGTTTTAAATATTATGTAATCGTTATCATTGGTTCATAAACTACCTTGATTGGTTTAATAATTTCATATATCGGTAATAATTAAATAAAAGTGCAAAACAAAACAGAAACATACCCATTAAGGGAATTACTATTTTGCACTTTAAACTGTAATTTCATATATGCATATAAATATTACTGTATATTAGAGTAAAGCCTAATGAAGATCTAATCGAAAACAATATTGTTCACTTATGTCTATGTTGTTCTAAAATGTAATTGCCTCTTTCATCTTTATTCACAATTTGAACGAAGACTATTCTTTTCGATAAATTCTCTTCAGGTTCTGCAACTAGACATCCAAATTAATAATCCAAAAAATGGCCAGGTTACAGCTAAAGTACACCCGTTTAAACTATATGAATTTTCAAACAAAATAGATAGGAACTCACTGAAGACAATGGTGTACGGTAGCGCAACTTCGTGGATTGGTTGAAGTTAGACATTAACACCGTTGGATGCCGGCTCAGTGGTCTAATGGTTAAGTGCTCGCGCGCGAAGCCAGTAGGTCCTGGGTTCGAGCCCCGGGTTGTGCGGGGTCGTGGACGCGCACTGCTGAGGAGTCCCATACTAGGACGAAATGGCCGTCCAGTGCTTCCAGGTTTTCAATGGTGGTCTAGCTTCAACTGACTCATGAGTTCAATCTGTGAAAATTTCTAAAAATCTCCACAAAACACATTCTGATAAAAATAGAATAAAATTGTTAGTGTTGGTATGACTCATATAGAATGTTAACTTAAATCTGTATATATGCTAAGTGAAAATTAAAGATCCATGATCAGAATAAATATGGGTCAAATAGGGTGAGAGAGAAATAATAGTGCAATTAAAAGTCGATCAAATATTTAGTGAAAGATTATATTGTGTAAAAAAATTATTAGTAATGTGGGATGAATGAGAAATAAATGAATCATGTATTGGGGAGATTAATAATAATGTTTGTGAATGAAGATAAAAGAGACAATTACATTTGACTACGAAAGGTCGTAAGTACAGTAGTCAAATTAGGTCATTCAATAGCTAAGATTAGTATTGATTAATGTGCCTTGAGGTTGGCCAGGGTAGGAGGAGGATGAGTGGTTGAAGATATTTCTTTTGTCTGGATAGCTCAGGTTTCTTCATCTGGATGGTTACTTCTGCAGCCATTTGAAGGACTTTGTGTCTGACCAACTTTAGCGAAAAATTACTAACCCTATAAATAATTGAAAGGGATTAGTTTATACTGGCATCGATGACCAGTTTGTACTAAATGGCCGAATATCGAGCTGTTCATTTTCTTCACCAGACCTTTTTTTAGTCACACTGGGAGGTGTTCCGGAGCACGAAGATGTAAATTTTTAGAACTTCGACCAATATAACTTGCTCCACAGGAGCAGTCTAACTGACAAATGAGATGGTCATTCTATATAATTCATCTTCTAGCCTCGGTGTCACCGTTGGGCGCGTAGAAAACACCAATCGTAGTTCTCCGGAATTGAAGGATTTTCGTATTTTCTTGCATAATCTCTGAGTTAACATGGTGAGACTTCAATTTATGGACGACCTTTAAGCGACGCTAAAGTAACCTTGAGAGTGTTCATCTAATTACTAGAACCAAATGAGTGTTATAAACCAGCGTGAGAAATCACAATTATGATTCACAGTTGATGGTCAGGGTTAGAATTTAGATTTAGTTTTCATCACGAAGTGACATCACCTATAATGCCAAAACTCTATTTAGCCCGAGACCTGTTATCTTATACGTGGTTGGTTCGTCCATAAATTATAGTCTCGCCGTTAATATTTCACTAGCCGCACCCCCCTCTAAATTTTAGGCGCATGAACAGGGATTTCTTATTCATCGTTCGTATTCCTCCTATTCTCACTTCCATGATCATATATTTACTTATAAACTTTCTAGGGTGACCGTTTTCCCTAAGAGTATTATGCAAGGTGTTTAGCTCATCTTTAACTATATCCGTAGATCATATATTGCGTATTCGGTAACTAAGGGTTTTGATCAGGTTTCGTCTGCACTGTAGAGGTACAAAGCTGAGGAAATGCGTATACTGCCCAGTCCAGGTATTTTTTCTGTTTAAGTTCCTTTTTAATGATCCATCCGTTCTCTTAACTAAGAGAACGTCCAAAAAGGCTATTCGACCATCACTCTATTCCTCAGATGCAAATTGAATGGCTCGACACATTTCACTAAACTGCCTAAGAACCTCGTGCTGTGATGTATTATCATCACAGAGGATTAACGTGGTAAACGTATTACCTAATGATTGACAGTTTTAGTGGATTATCCGTAATCGGATTTGTTTTTAATCATATATTTTAAATCATATACTTATCACATTCGTTACTTCATTCAGATTCACATTATGAAACAATCATGTTAAATGCGTCATATTGGTTTCCATTTCCTTGATGACTATTGATTTAATTAGAATGCAAATAAAATATATGTAAGTACAAAGTAGTCACATAACCTTGACCCTAAGTAAATGGGTTGTTAATGCCATCGCCTTACATTATTTTTAATACTGATCATACTACTGATAACAAAACAGAGTAGTCAAAGTAATTAAGTAAAATTCTTTAGGATTGAGCATCAATCCACATTATTATAGGCTTTGTCGAAACTTGGGTGGTTTTTATATATATTCTGGA